GGTGAAAAAGTAGCCCCGGGCCGGAACTAGTCATAGTGGAAATGCAACCAAAAACGGGACCGGCACGACACAGGACGCTTAAACCGCGCTGCGGTGGAAATGAGCAATTAAGGGTCCCCGAACCAGGCTAAAAACAAAGAGGGACCGTGCCTTTGAGGTGGTGGCCCCTATGGAATGAACTCCCCCAGAAACTGAGAGCCTCTGTGTCAGTAGAGGCTTTTGGCCTGTCGGAAAAAGTGAGTCTTTAGCTGCCCCTGGCGTCGGAGGAGGTGAGTTTCTAGCTGTTTTTCATTGATGTTTTATCCTATCTTTTACTGGGTGTGTTTTATGCCTTTTGCCAATAGGAACAATCAAAAATATCCCAATAGAAGTTTAAAGTCACAATATTTGATTAAAGGTGGGGTAGGTAAGTTTGAGAAATCAATCAATCAATGTTTATTTATATAGCCCAATATCACAAATGTTACATTTGTCTCAGTGGACTTTACAGTTTGTACAAAATATCAGTATGATAATACGACACCCTCTGTCCTTAGACCCTCACATCGTACAAGGAAAAACTTCCGAAGAAAACCCACAGTTTAAAGGGAAAAATGGGAGAAACCTCGGGGAGAGCAACAGAGGACGGATCCCTCTCCCAGGACGGACAGACGTGCAATAGATGCCGTGTGTAAATTGAAAAGATAATACATTTGCAACATAGGTAGTCCAAATGTTTGGAAATGCATGTGTGTATAATAGGAAGATGAATCTACGAGGATATCCATCCAGGACCTATGATCCAGGACCACAGCCATGACTCAAGATCCAGGGCTCGCGATCCAGGACAAAGGAGCGCAGGATCATCCATGACTCCGGATCCCGGCGTATATAGACACCAAAAAGAAAGAAATTTGGGGAAGCTGGGTTAATCAGAACATGAGAGTACACAGGTATAGACAGAGAGAAGGAAGAAGTAAGATGTCCCCCGACAAACTAAGCCTATATCAGCAAAACTAGGGGCTGAATCTAATCAGCCCTAACTATAAGCTTTATTACATTACATTACATTGCATTTAGCTGACGCTTTTGTCCAAAGCGACTTACAATAAGTACATTCGACCAGGAAGACACAACCTTGAAGAAAACAGAATCATATAAGTATATCAGGTTTCATAGAGCCAAACATTTCAAGTGCTACTCAACTGGCTTTAGGTAATCCAGTCCTTTATTGGTATAAAAGTGCTTCGTTAATCATTCTAACGCTCGAAGTGGAGTCGAAAGAGATGAGTTTTCAGTTTGCGCCGGAAGATGTGCAAGCTATCTGCCGTCCTGATGTCAATGGGGAGCTCATTCTATAAGCTTTATCAAAAAGGAAGGTCTTAAGCGCACTCTTAAAAACGGATAGGGTGTCTGCCGCCCGAACACAAACTGGAAGCTGATTCCACAAATGTGGAGCTTGATAAGAAAAGGCTCTGGCTCCCATTGTACTTTTAGAGACTCTAGGAACAACCAACAACCCTGCATTCTTGGAACGCAATGCCCTAGTAGGACAGTAGGGTATAATGAGTTCTTTAAGGTAAGATGGCGCCTGCCCATTAAGGGCTTTGTAGGCGAGAAGAATAATTTTAAATTCTATCCTGTGTTCTATAGGGAGCCAGTGTAAGGCAGCCAGAACAGGAGTAATGTGGTCCCTTTTCCTAACTCTGGTTAGTACACGAGCTGCAGCATTTTGAATCAGCTGAAGCGACTTGACTGACTTCTTGGTACACCCTGATAATAAAGAGTTACAATAATCCAGCCTTGAAGTAACAAATGCATGGACTAGTTTCTCTGCATCGTTTTGAGGCAAGATATGCCTGATTTTTGCAATGTTACGTAGATGGAAGTAGGCGGTCCTTGAAATTGATTTTATGTGGGCGTTAAAGGATAAATCCTGATCAAATATAACACCAAGATTCCTTACAGTCTCACTGGAGGCCAATTAATGCCATCCATAGTCAGTATATCCTTAGATAATTTGTTTCGTAGATTCTTCGGGCCAAGTACAATAACTTCAGTTTTGGTCGTGTTTAACATCAAAAAGTTTAAGGTCATCCACGTTTTTAAGTCCTTAAGGCAGTCTTGAATTTTATTTAGATGATTAATTTCATCAGGCTTGATTGATAAATATAGTTGAGTATCATCCGCATAACAATGAAAATGTACAGAATGATTCCTTATAATATTGCCTAACGGAAGCATATATAATGTGAACAAAATAGGTCCGAGCACTGAGCCCTGTGGCACTCCATGGCTAACTTTGGTTTGCGTGGAAGATTCATCATTGACACGTACAAACTGAGAGCGTTCAGATAGATAGGACCTAAACCAGCCTAAAGCAGTTCCCTGTATGCCAACTAAGTGCTCTAGTCTTTGCAATAAGATATCATGGTCGATAGTATCAAATGCAGCACTGAGATCGAGCAAAACAAGAATAGAGACACGTCCCTTGTCAGAGGCTATTAGAATGTCATTTGTGACTTTAACCAGAGCTGTCTCTGTGCTATGATGTGTTCTAAAGCCGGACTGAAAATCTTCAAATAAATCATTGTTTTTTAAGTAATCACACAACTGTTTTGCGACCGCTTTCTCAAGAATTTTTGAGAGGAACGGAAGAGTGGAAATAGGTCTATAATTGGCTAAAACCTCTGGATCGAGGTTGTGCTTTTTAAGAAGCGGTTTTATCACTGCTACTTTGAATGATTGTGGAACATAGCCTGATAATAAAGACATATTCATAATATTTAATAAAGAAGTGCTAATTAATGGAAAAACTTCCTTCAACAGCTTAGTTGGAATTGGGTCTAACATACACGTTGATGGTTTAGAAGAGAGAATCATTGAATTTAATTGTTCAAGGTTTATGGCTGAAAAGCATTCTAGTTTACTATCTAGTGTAATATTAGAACTTACGTTTCCGGGAGCTGTTGATAACACTATACTGGTCAAAGGCAAGAGGTCATTAATGTTGTTTCTAAGAGTAACAATTTTATCGTTAAAGCACATAAAATCATTACTACTGAGTGCTATGGGAATAGAAGGCTCAATCGAGCTGTGGCCGGAGAAACCGGCTCGAGATACACTTTTTGTTATATTCCATGGAATGCTCTTAACATCCAGATAGCAATGAATATCTGAAGTGCTTTGACAAAAAAATCCATAAAAAATATCATCTGTGGAAACCGTGGTACTGTAAAAAGCACGACCAATCATCTGAGCCGGCCCGGCTAAAGTAACTGGATGGCCTACCTGCCTGTCAGCCTTCCATCTGTGCACAAACTCATCTCGTGCCCTCATTGGTCATGTGTGTTGGAGGAGGGGCTCTGTGAGGAAGTGGCAGATTTTTTCCGGCTGTGTATTTTCAAATTCTAGCGCACTCGAGCTGGTTTCTCCAAAATTACCTAGCCCACCTTTAACCAAACAGATTATTGGCGAAACTAATGTGATGGAAATTATGGTACTAAAGCTTAATACAGTGTAAACCTAATGAAATGTAAACTGCTGTATTCTGAAAATGTCATGTCAATGGTTTAACTGATTAGGTCAAATCCCTGGAGTGACCTTTGAATGTGTGTGAGTGATCAACAGATGTTTTTGCAAGGGGGTTTTATGACACTACAGGAAGGATGAGGGGAAGGAAGTTAGGATAAGGTGTTATCTGTATCCCTTTTGCTCTGTGTAGGGTGTGAGTTTTGCATACTGTATCTGAGGGGTATCTGTATATCCCATTGTCTTGTATGGAGTGATGGTTTTGGGGGGGGGGGGTTTATCAGCTGGCCTCCCATTATGATGTAATGTAAATCTGCTTTGATGTCCTCTTTTAAAGAGAGCCTGTTTTACTCAGAAAGGTATGTGCTCTTTGGAGGAGACGTCATACTTGCAAGTATAAAAGCTTATAATATTATTAATATTAATATTGTTTGCTGTACGTTTGTTACCTTACTGATTATTCTCTCTAGACCACAGCTGATTTTAAAGCTGCTACGACACTACTCATCAGATTAATGAACAGTGAAACTAAATTCCTTCAATGCAGCTTAACAAGGCTAGCAGTTGAGATATAATATTTAAAAAAAAGGAATAGCAAGGCTATTAGAAATCCATGGTTGAAACACAGAATAGTAAAACATTTCTTCATAGTTCAGGAACCATTACAAACCTCAATTAAAATGGAGAAACAGCGTCTCTGTGGCCTTGTGTTGGCATAGTGTGAACGCTGGTCAGAAAATAAAAAAACTGTTAAAATAATAAAGCTTTATCCATACAGCACGTGCAGTTCAAAGTGCTTTACAAAATGGCAACACATCAGAAGTTAAAAATAAACAAGAAAGTCCCCTCAGACGTTAAAACCTTTCAGATACATGCAGCGAAATATAACATTGTAACAGGTTAAGATACGGGGGGAGGTAAAAGGTATGATAATAATAATAACAAATGAAATACAGTAATGAAAATTATGATTTATCACGGAAAAATAAGACACAAGAAAAGAATAGATGCAACGATATAAAATCAACAGAAATACAAATACAAATGAATAGTGATTAAAATATAAAGAAACCAACGTAATAATAAATGTTGCTATTGAAACTGTTAACTAATATAAGATAAAACCCTTCCTATATCATAAATGAAACAATATAAAAGTAGGTAAATAATAAAGACTAAAAGACCATTTAAAGTGGGGGGATTGCTAATAAAAAGCTAATCTAAAGAGATGTGTCTTTAGCTGGCATTTAAAAATGTCCACTGAGCCTCTCTGATATTTCCTGGTGTTCCACAGTAGTGCCTGACCCATTTTATTTTGGGGGAATTTAGGCATATTTAAAAAGCTGATGAGGACCTCAGGGCTTGTCCAGGGACATAAAACGAGACTGACTGTGAATTGAAGTCTGTTAGTCGGACTTCAATTCAGAAAGACTCTTAAAATATAACTACAGCTCTCAGGACATCAGGAGGAGGAAACAGCTAGCTTGGCTCTCATAGTTGTTCAAAACGATGCGGTGTGAATTCGCTTGTGGAGTTTAAGGTTAGAACTTTGAGAAAACATTTCCCCACACTCTTCACACCAGTACGGTTTTTCTCCAGTGTGAATACGTTGATGTCTTTGGAGATCACTTGATGTAGTGAACATTTTCCCACACTCTTCACACCAGTACGGTTTTTCTCCAGTGTGAATACGTTGATGTATTTGGAGATGACTTGATGTAGTGAATGTTTTCCCACACTCTTCACACCAGTACGGTTTTTCTCCAGTGTGAATACGTTGATGTCTTTTGAGAGCACCTGATTCAGTGAAAGTTGTCCCACACTCTTCACACCAGTACGGTTTTTCTCCAGTGTGAATACGTTGATGTCTTTTGAGAGCACCTGATTCAGTGAAAGTTGTCCCACACTCTTCACACCTGTACGGTTTTTCTCCAGTGTGAATACGTTGATGTTTTTGGAGATCACTTGATGTAGTGAACATTTTCCCACACTCTTCACACCAGTACGGTTTTTCTCCAGTGTGAATACGTTGATGTTTTTGGAGATGACTTGATGTAGTGAATGTTTTCCCACACTCTTCACACCGGTACGGTTTTTCTCCAGTGTGAATACGTTGATGTCTTTTGAGAGCACCTGATTCAGTGAAAGTTGTCCCACACTCTTCACACCGGTACGGTTTTTCTCCAGTGTGAATACGTTGATGTCTTTTGAGGGCACCTGATTCAGTGAAAGTTGTCCCACACTCTTCACACCTGTATGGTTTTTCTCCAGTGTGAATACGTTGATGTCTTTTGAGAACACCTGATGTAGTGAAAGTTGTCCCACACTGTTCACAGCTGTACGTTTTCTCTCCAGTGTGAATTCGTTGATGTGTTTTGAGATCACCAGATCTAGTGAATGTTTTCCTACACTCTTCGCAGCTGTACGGTTTTTCTCCAGTATGAATAAGCAGGTGGCTCTTTAAATGTCCAGATCTTGTCAAGGATTTGTCACATTGCTGACAGCTGTGACGTCTCTCTCTTCCTTTTGGTTTCTAGAACAGACGGACAGAGAAAGAGAGAAAGTAAATCTAAAAAGCATAAATACATATACAGTTAACACAATAAAACTCCCTTAATATAAACCTTGAGATAACGGACTACTACTTTTACTAACTCTTTGTGTTTATTATATTATAACATATATATATAACTTATTTATATTATAACATTTCGGCCAGGAGAGCTATTTGTTTAAGCACCGGATCGGCAAAACAGGAAAGTCTGTGAACCAGTCTGCCTTGATCTATGAATTCATGTCCAGGACTCTCACAGTATCTGCTGCCCACAGCTGTTTTATAGAAGGAAAACCTCCTTCACTTCATGAAATCTCTGAAGCACCAGGAGGCAGTAACATGTAAGCAGAATCTGAGAAGAGCAGCACCAGCTGCAAAGAGCTGTGCCTTTTACTGTTTACTTCGCTGTGTTTACCTTCATTAGAACAGATAAAGAGCGATCACAGGCTGCTACGTTTTAACAACACACACACACATGCCTGATTCTTCCCCATATTACCTGTTTTATTATTTCAGAGCCCCACTCTCCATTGTTGCTAATGTTGAAAATAAAACTCTACTTTTCATAACCACTGTCTTTTAACTGATTTAAATGCGGAAACTGGGGTTATTCATCTGGATTTGGTATGACTTGACTTGCTTCACTCTCACCCCAGTAACTTGAGACTTGCACATGTATGACTTACTCCCACCTCTGGTATATACAGGACACAGAGGGAGACGGCATCCTGTCACAGCGCGTCTCAGTATGCTCTGTTCGTCTTGTGTTTTGTTTTTGTTTGTTTGGTCTAATTATTGTCTAAACTTTGTAAGAAACGTCATTTTGAGAGACCATGCTTTTGATCCTGTGGATTACATTTACCTTCTGCGGACCATGTCTGGCCACACAACTTTCCAAGACACACCTGAGTGACAGCACAAGCAGGTATGGCGAGGAGGCCCGGCCTCTTCGCTGCAACAGCCATGAGGCTATGCTGGAGCTACAATGCGATCGGCATCATACGAATACATCAAGCCATCTGTTCTCTTCAATATTGGATGACATCCCTCGGGAGCCGCTTAGAAACACCAGGAAAAAGAGACGAGGAAGGAGGGGAGGCGTTCAGAATCGCCTACGGCGGAGATTCAGCCGGCCACCCCTTCCATCCATCACTCACAAACCTGCGCTCATTGAGCACGAAGGACATACACAAGGTAATGTCATGAATATCGTCAGGCCTCTTTATTTTGTGTCACGGAATTGGCTACAATGCCTGAATCTCTCTTTGAGGTACCCGGATTCACCCTTGTTTGAGCAGACAGCGATGCGAACTCGGGGAAAACCAGAGGAGGCGGTATTTGTGTGTATATTAATGATCTGTGGTGCCGATCATACTCAGCAAAATGTAAAACCTGCAATCCCAATGTAGAAATTCTTGGCATGACGTTAAGACCCTTTCATCCTCTAATCTGCCTAGAGAATTCGGGTGTATTTTACATTACATTACATTACATTGCATTTAGCTGAGGCTTTTATCCAAAGCGACTTACAATAAGTGCGTTCGACCAACAGAATACAACTTGAAGAAAACAGAATCATATAAGTACATCAGGCTTCATAGAGCAAAAACATTTCAAGTGCTACTCAACTGGCTTTAGATAAGCCAGTCCTTTATTAGTATAAAAGTGCTTCGTTAATAGTTCTATCGCTCGAAGTGGAGTCGAGATGAGTTTTCAGTTTGCGCCGGAAGATGTGCAAGCTATCTGCCGTCCTGATGTCAATGGGGAGCTCATTCCACCATCCTGGAGCCAGGACAGCAAACCCACGTGTTTTCGCCGATGGGAACTTGGGTCCCCCTCGCAGCGAGGGCGCAGCGAGTCGTTTGGCTGATGCAGAGCGTAGTGCACGCGCTGGGGTGTACGGTTTAACCATGTCCTGGATGTACGAAGGGCCAGATCCATTCGCAGCATGGTAAGCAAGTACCAGTGTCTTGAAGTGGATTCTAGCAGTTACCGGAAGCCAGTGAAGGGAGCGGAGGAGCGGAGTAGTGTGGGAAAATTTAGGAAGGTTGAAGACCAGACGAGCCGCTGCATTCTGGATGAGCTGCAGAGGTTTTTACTGTTTGTTGTTTACGTGCCTCCCAGCGACAGAGTGTCAATGGCGGCCGGCTCCATCGCTGACCGTGTTCACGAGATGCAACTCAGCCACCCCGATGCACCGGCAATAGTGCTCGGGGACATGAAGCAATGTCGCCTGGAGACTGTGTTACCTTGGTTCCAACCGTATGTTAGGGATCACACTAGGGCTGTACCCGAATATTCGTTCGTTGGAGATTCACTGCTTCCTGCTTCTTACAGTGCAGCCGTTTTTCTGCTTGCCCTTGCCTCTGCTTACTTTGTTATGCTGATTTTCCTATTTTTCTTTTCTGGTAACTTCGAGCAGCAGCTCCTGGACATTAACTTATCACTGGGACAGTTATTCTTTGTAAATAGATGAAGGGTTTCAGCCATATTTCAATATTTTTACGACGACCTTACTCCTACAGTAGCGTGGCCTAGCAAACAGCTAAAGCCTGGTACTGCATGCTATTTAGCTAGCAAATGCAAAATGCCTCCGCTCTCTACAGATGACTTCCACAAACTTCTACAGAAGATGGGAGTGTTGGAAATGAAATGCAACAGTTGGAAGATAACGTGGAAGTGAATGGACTAGGTTGGAATGACACCACTTTACCAGTGCAAACAAATGGAAAAGGGCATGCTAACTTACAGCTAGCTAGCAGCTACAAGGATTCCAAGGAACAGGAGGGCTGTGTACCGGGTAATAAATCTACAAGTGGTAGTCCTCCCTTGAACTCTCTGGGTGCAAGGCCGAAGAGTAAAACATTTCCATGGGATTTGGGAGAACGAATAACAGGCAGAGCCCAGCGCTCTGAAATCTGTGATGTGACCGGCTGGCCTGCATTGTTATCACCCAGGAAGAGCGCCTCTTCAACCCCTATTCATACTGGGAAACAGTCGTGGACAGCTGCTAAAGGGAGAACTACAAACAATCCTCCTAAACCACCAACTGTGCCAATCCAGAACAGATACGCTCTGCTGACCGAGAACCGGAGATCTCTTTCTGATGAGCTGGATAACCTGTCCTCTTCACACAGCAGGGTAAGTACCAATAGCTACTCCAAAAGTAAAAGGCTAGAGGGAAAGGCTAGGTCTGAAACTCTGATTGTGGGTGACTCTGCTGTAAGAGATGTAAAAAGTCTGTGTAGTAAGAACAACACCAAAGTACTCTGTTTTCCCAAGGATATGGTCTCTGACTTGGCTGAGAAGATCCTGCATATTGGGACTGAACATCCGACTGTGAAGAATGTGGTACTGCACATTGGAACAAATCTGAACAGTCAGAAGGGCTGAAAAAATACTTTAAATGTCTGTTGGAAACGGTCAGCTCTCTAAATGCGGAGGTGTTCATCAGTGGCCCTCTACCGCCAGTCAGAAGAGGAGTATAGACATTCAGCAGATTGTTTGCACTGAACACGTGGCTTTCAACTGTCTGTACTGACCATACTGTCCATTTTATTGACAATTTTTACTTTTTCTGGGACCACAGACTAGGGGTGGGCGATATGACGATATATATCGCCGTGACGATATTAGGTCTCCACGATATGCTTTTTCAGAGATATCGTATCTATCGTGATAAAAATAAATAAATTGAATTTTTTTAAAAACGTGTGCGCAGCACAGGGGGCTATGACAGCGGACGGAGAGCCTCTTCCCCTCCCCCAGCCTCACCTACTGCTTTTAATTTCACCATATATCAAGCCCGATCGATTTCACAATGTCAGCGCACCTCTGCTTTCGTGTTGGTAGTTCAGTCCGAGTTGTTTGACACGCTTCCAAAGTCCCCGCCCCCTTTCTTTGCAGCGAGGGAAAATACACTGTTGGCAGTCTGCACACACAGCAATAATGGACGGAGAGTCAGATTCTGATGTAGAAGAATTAGTCCCCAAAAAGAACTCTACGTCTCTGGTATGGAATTATTTTGGATATAACAACAGACACGGAGCAAACAAATGTAATTTGCAAAATTTGCAAAAAAGAAAATTTCAAAGCGACAGATGGAACACGTCGGGCTTACGAGACCACCTCAAACGCAAGCACCAGAAAGAGCATGCAGAGACTGTAAGAGTGCAAGGTCCCCCGCGTGTGAATGCACAATCTACCGCAGCGACTGCACCAAAACAAACTACCATAGCGCAGGCATTTCATAAAGGGGCTCCTTATGAAAAGACTAGCAAACGGTGGAAAGACATAACTGACGCGGTGGCGTTTTATGTGGCCAAGGATATGCAACCAATAAAGAGCGTGGAAAACAAAGGTTTCGTGAGGCTGATGAAAACAGTTGACCCACGGTACCAGGTGCCCAGTCGAAAATATTTTTCTACAAAGGCCATTCCAAAAATGTACACTGAATGCCGAGAGAAGGTACTACAGGAAATTCAAAATGTCCAGTTTTTTGCTACAACCAGTGATTTATGGTCTAGCCGCACGTCAGAACCGTATATGAGTCTGACCATTCATTTCATTCACAAGTGGAAGCTGCAAAGTGCATGTCTCCAAACGATATACTTCCCGGTAGACCATACAGGGGAACTAATCGCACATGGCCTAAGGGACTTACTTCAAGGCTGGGGACTGAAAGAGGAGAACATGATCTGCATGACCACAGACAGTGGAGCCAACATGGTTAAAGCTTTGGATCTTAACGCCTGGACTCGCCTGCAGTGCTTTGGTCACAGACTTTACCTGGCCATCGGTGAGTGAAACAAGTATTATATTAATATATGACTACAAATGATAAGTTTATTCATTTTGTGTGTGTGTGTGTGTGTGTGTGTGTGTGTGTGTTTGTGTGTGATGCATTTCAATAAAATATATAAAAATCCATATCTACAAAACAAGAAAAAAAAGTGTAGAATTAAAAATATAAATAGTTTAATGAAAATGTGAATTAAAATGTATTGTGTGATTAACCAATTAAGTCCTATTTAAAAAAACATTTAGTAGTGATAATAAATATTGCATTCTACAAGCTAGGCCAAACTGTCCCTATTTTGCATTGTTATGCAAAATAGTTGGCAGAGGAGGTTAAACCAGATTAATAAATCTTCATCTTCTATTTCTTAGAAAAAAGTGCTAAAGACCCTCGTGTTGATCGCACAGTGTCCATCTTGAAGAAAATGGTCAGTACATTCTCCTTCAGCTGGAAGAAAAAGACAGAGTTGGCTAGGCTTCAAACAGAGATGAAGCTACCTCCGCACAAACTCATCACCGACTCACCAACTCGATGGGGTTCCAAACTCTCCATGATTGAGAGAGTGTTGGAACAGGAAAAGGCCATTTCTGAGATCCTTAAGGCAGACAAGACGACAAGGTGTTTGGTCCCTGGATACAACGAAAAGGATGTGATGGAGTCTGTAGTGAAGGCCCTGGGTCCACTACGGGACTTCACAGATGCACTCTCAGGTGAGTTTATTTAAATGTTTTATTATTTATATATTTTTTAATTAGAAAAGTGGCAATACAATCAATATACAAAAATTATTACTATTTGTCCTCTTTTTTTATTTTATTTTTAGGTGAGGACTATGTGAGTGTGTCTTATGTAAAGCCAGTGCTTCACCTGTCCAAAGAACACCTCTTAAAAGCGGATGATGACGACACTGACCTCTCAGGAGAAATGAATATGACCATTCTCAACTACCTCACTGACAAATACAAGGATCCCAAAACTGATGAACTGCTGGATATGGCTTCACTTGTTGATCCAAGGTTCAAAAGAAAGTACATTGACGGTGACAACTTAGAGAAGATACAAGCCAAAGCTGTGTCTGAGCTTGAGTCCTTGCTGACTGTCACTGTACAAGCACAGTGTCCCGCAGCATCTTCATCTACCTCCACATCACAGAGCCTTGAGGCAGAAGCAAACCAGGGCCACCACAAAAAGAAAGCTAAGAAAACACTGGCCAGCTTTTTGAAGACCTCTGCTGTAACTGCAGCTGGCACATCTGCTTCTCCATCCCTAAAAGAAGCAATAGAGGCAGAATTGAAGTCCTACCTGTCCGTACCAAATGCAGACAGTGAAATGGACCCTCTGGAATGGGGGCAAAACCATGATGGAAACTTTCCAAGGGTTAGCCAATTAGCTAGAAAGTATTTCTGCATTCCGGCAACTAGTGCTCCCTCAGAGAGAGTGTTCAGCACTGGTGGCAATATTGTCACATGCCAAAGGGCAACTCTCAAGCCAGAGAAAGTTGACAAACTGATTTTCCTGGCAAAAAATCTGTGATTGTGTTCTGTCATACAACAAGAAAAGTAAAAAAGGTTTTAAAAAAAGAAAACTATACAATGTGAAGACATGCTCTAAAGCTGTCTAGTCAGGATTCAGACAGTATTGCACTTTATTCATTGTCTTGTTTGATTCTGTTGGCTTATATTTTATTTTATCAATAAGGTATTTATATAGTTGTTCCCTTCAGTTATGCTAAAGTTTTTTTATTGCACTTCAAGTCTAAAGTTTACATTTTAATTGTTTGGCACTGACTTTTCCTCATTGATGTTTTATGTTTTACTTAGTTATGTTTTACCCTCCTTTTCATGTTTATTGATGTTCACTGCTAGTGCTACCTCAGAAAGTTCATTTTTATACTGAGAAACGTGCCTTGAAGCCATATCAAAATGTTGAATTGTTCATTCAGGGATTCATTACAGAAATAAAACCAGCTTGAAATGCTATTTTGGTCTGTTACTCCTTTTTGTTTTAGTTTCTGTTACCTTGTAGGTGCTTGTACTGTTAAGTAACTTGAAAAATAACCATAATAACCGACATGAAAAAATATCGTGATATATATCGTCTATCGTGATACTCCTTGAAAAATATCGTGATAATATATTTTTCAATATCGCTCACCCCTACCGCAGACATATTTTTAAGGCAGATGGAATTTGCCTGAACAAGTCAGGAGTAAAATTGTTTATCTCTAACATATTCAACTGCCTGCGTCATCAATCTGTTCCCTCTGCCAAGGACAAACGGCAAGAGCAATAAAAACAGGAGAAAGACACAACACATCGCGCAGAAAACCTTGAAGAAGTATCACTGCACCCGCATGAGGAATGTTTTGATTATGGGAGACCTATGACACAAATGGAGGAGTGTCCAATGCCATTCACCCCCCCTGTCAACACCTTTGAGGATACTCTTCCTTCACACCCCAGCTCTCTCTACTCTCCGCTCACCCTTTCACCCTCGACCACCCCCCTGGAGTTTGATGAGCAGATGAAGGAGATACAGAGGGTTGGCACCAAATCCTTCCTGGAGTTCAATGACCGCATGAAGGCGATACGCAGGGCTGGCAGCATTTCCTCTACCTCCTCAACGACGCCCACCAAAATGACTGAAGCATAGACGCGCACCACCACCCCCGTCACCATGCCTACCACAATCATCCGGACCAAAACGTCCTCCCCCCCCCTTCAAGACTGCTGTCTCCGAAGCCTGATAAGAATGTGTGTGTAAAAAACGCAAGCACTGACTGATATGCTGGCTCAAGGGCGTATGGCACTCAACTCTTTCTCGGACATGTCGGGGCCCTGCCTGCCAGTAGCTTTGCCGATATCTGTGTTGATAGGTGATAGATTAAGAGCGGTGAATCAGCTTAGACACAGGAAGCGCTCAAACGTTTGTGTGAGTTTATCTAATTTAGCAGTGATTCCATGTCAGCCACAGCTTGTTACAAAAAACCTGACTGATGGTGTATTTAACAAACTTAAACTAGCTTTATTACATGTCAGGTCTTTGGCAGGTAAAACAATTTTAATCAATGATTTTATCACTGAGCACAATCTCGATTTTATGTTTTTAACGGAAACATGGATTGAACTAAATAACAGTGCAGCTGTTCTTATCGAATCAACCCCTCCCAATTTTAGTTTTATGAGTCAGGAAAGAATGCATAAGAAGGGAGGTGGAGTTGCTATTTTGTACAATGATTCCCTTCAATGCAGGAAGACATCGTATGGAAACTTTGATTCTTTTGAATATGTGGCCCTTCAGCTGAAATGCTCCTCTCGAGCTCTGTTCCTAAATATCTATAGATCGCCCAAATACTGTGTAAGCTTTTTTGATGACTTTACTGAACTGCTGTCTATAGTGTGTATTGACTTTGACCATCTAGTCATTGTTGGTGATTTTAACATCCATGTTGACAACCCCCAGGACAGAGGGGCTAAAGAACTGTTTTGTGTTCTTGATAACTATGGACTGACTCATGTGACGGAGCCCACGCACAATAAGGGGCACACTCTGGACTTAATTATCTCAAAGGGTCTGAATATCTCTAAGGTTGTGGTGACTGATGTTGCACTCTCTGATCATTCCTGTGTTTTCTTTGAGAGCTCTATTTCTGTTCACAATTTTTTTCAAAAAGAGGTAACCACAAAGCATTATTGAACTGATAATACTAGGGAAATGTTTACTCAGAATTTTTCATCCACACTTGCCCCTGCTAACATCTCAGTAAATGAGCTAGTAGATCATTTTAATTCAAAGATTAAAAATGTTATAGATGCCATTGCTCCAACTAAGGTAAAAAGTGACTGGGAAGAAAATATCTCCATGGAGAAAGGCCATGACCGTGAGAACAGAAAAAAGAGTGTCGAAAAGCTGAACGCAGGTGGCGAAAAACAACTCTCCAGGTTCACTTTGAAATCTATAAAGAGAGACTTGTAGGGGTGTAACGGTACACATACATAAATTATTCGGTACGGGCCCTTCGGTTCGGTACCGGAGTGCACCGAAGTGTACTGAACAAATATAACGTTAAACGTAAAAAATTGAGAACGTGAACAACTTTTTGGAAGTAATCTCAGGTGCTGTGTCGCAGCATTCAGAGTAATTTGCTCACATTGTGTTCAACGCGTCATAGAGCGAACAAGTCATTTCATTGGACGAGAGGCATACTAGAGAGCTGGTCACAGGGATGCGTTCAAATTTAGTCAGTGATTTGAGGAACTGGCGAAATGGCAAACGCAGATAAAGTTGAGCTCAAAAATCCTCCAGCATCATTGAAGTCTCCAGTTTGGGAACATTTTGGATTCACAGTTACGTACAAGGATGACGGACAAAGACAGGTGGACCGAACCAAAGCTGTTTGTCGGCATTCTTCAACTTAAATTGGTTACGCGGCTGGCAATACATCAAACACGGCACACTCATTTTAAAAAGGCATCACCCGAACGTGAATATCACCGGTACCAAAAAAAAAAAGAAGACTGAAGTGCAAACCCAATCCCACTAGCATTTAAGCCTCCATCACTCGCAAAAAGTTTAGACCGAGCCAAAGCTATTACAAACGCCAAATATCCTTATGTTGCCATGTTAGCAAAGCGCTACCTGGCTGTATCTGCTACCTCTGTCCCTAGAGAGGGTGTTCTCCACAGCAGGAGACATTGTTAGTGCCAGCAGATCTGCCCTTTCGGCAAGCAATGTGGACAAGTTAATTTATCTTTAAAAAAAACATGAAAATACAATGACAAGCAAGTCATGTCAAACTGGCTGCTTAGGTACTAGTACAGTACAGCCCTGTGGGCCATCTAAGCCAATTTACAGATGGCCCTGAGCCCAATAGAGATTGTCGTGAAAAATGCGTGCGGACGAAATGACGCACGTGTCGCAGTGTTTTTCCCCCTAGAAAATTTAGATTTTTGCAGGTCTTAGATGCTGTCTGATGCATTCTCTAGACTGAATTATAAGATGAACCACCACAATATTATATTGTACAATTTCAATTTTATTCTTCATTTCACTTGTTTGTTTGTTCTTGTTTGTGTTTGCTCGCTTGCATGCCCTGCATAGCTATAAGAAATACTTAAGTTGTTGGTCAAGACAATTTCCATCTGATGAAGGCAAATGCCTTCATAGATGTAAAAAAGAAGAACACATTATATTCAGTTATAACTGCCAAAACAAACATTACTTACACTATTATGGCCCCTGTTAAAAATGTTTGTAATGTCATCTACTGTAAGTTGGTCGAACGAATGCCTCCTCATCCGGAAGCTGACCGAGCAGACCCGAGCAGCAGTCGAGAGGTGCCGAGCGCATCCGCGAAGCACACGAAATGGCGACGTCAGAGTTCCCGTTAGCCGGCAAATCTAAATTTCTCCGGTCAAAATAATTTCCCTTTAGCGCAATACCACTTCAGTTGCGCCACTTATGTGACAGACAAGAAGAGTATGTGACAGACAAGAGTCAATTTGAATGTCTAACACTTAATGTGGAGAAAGAGATGTCCTGTATGGGTTGATTGTGCGTTGATCTGTTGGTAATGCCTCGGGGTTCCGGTGGGCATGTAAACAAATGCATAATGCTGCGCTATACGTTGTGGCCTCACCCGGTTGCATAGCGACACTTATTGTTTAGGTGTCTTTTAATAAGCAGGTAGTCCTATCATTATCATCGATATGGACATAAACGCGAGTGAAGTCTAATCTGACGGGAGAGAGATCAGCTGCTGCTGACGAGTCGACACGCAGCTCTGCATGATCACATGCAGCGGTGAGCGGACAAAACACACACTTCAGGTTAGAATATCACACGTAGCTATTTTAATTACCTCTCAAACTACCTAAACTAGTTATAGATATGTTTAGTTTTACTGACGGGTCACTCATTACTGGATACGCGAGCTGCATGATACTGGCATAATAGATTGCCCGATCGGGCAACCAGCAGGTGAGGCTTCATTGCCCGAGCTAAATACTAGATGGCCCCGAGCCATCGGGCAGTCGTTAATGTCGAGCCCTGAAACCGCTCTTAAAAAAGCATAATCTAGACGCTTTAGTAATGGGTAAAATCATAGAAAAAGTTGTTTTTCAATAGTTGAGTAATTTCTTGCATTTAAATAACTGTTTTGATGTGTTCCAGTCAGGATTTCGTCCAAACCACAGCACTGAGACTGCTCTTGTAAAGGTCTTCAATGACATCCACTTAAACACAGACAGTGGCAGAACTTCAGTGTTAGTATTGTTAGATCTCAGTGCTGCGTTTGACACTGTTGACCACAACATATTACTAGACCGACTGGAAAACCGGGTGGGACTTTCATCAACAGTTCTAAATTGGTTTGAATCCTACTTAAAGGACAGAAACAACTTTGTTTCTATAGGTAAATACACATCTGAGTTGACAAATATGACATGTGGGGTTCCTCAAGGCTCCATCTTGGGGCCTCTTCTGTTTGACATCTACATGCTACCACTGGCTCAGATAATGAAGAACAACAAAATAAGTTACCATAGCTATGCAGATGACACACAAATTTACATAACTATTTCACCAGGAGACTATGCTCCAATTCAAACACTGAGTAAGTGCATTGAACAAATCAATGACTGGATGTGTCAGAACTTTCTCCAATTAAACAATGACAAAACTGAGGTAATGGTTTTTGGAGCCAAGGCAGAACGTATAAAAGTTAGCGCTGAGCTTCAGTCTGCAATGTTCAAAACAACAGATAGAGCCAGAAATCTAGGTGTAGTCATGGACTCTGACCTGAGTTTCAACAGTCACATTAAAACTGTTACTAAATCAGCCTACTATCACCTAAAGAACATATCTAGGATTAAAAGACTAATGTCACAGCAGGATTTGGAAAAACTTGTCCATGCTTTTATCTTCAGTAGACTGGACTACTGTAATGGTTTCTTTATAGGTCTCACTAAAACATATATTAGAACGCTGCAGCTGATTCAGAACGCCGCTGCTTGAGTCCTCACTAACACTAAGAAAGTGGATCACATCACTCCTGTTCTGAAGTCTTTACACTGGCTTCCTGTGTGTCAAAGAATAGATTTTCAAAATACTGCTGCTGGTTTATAAAGCTTTGAATGGTTTAGCCCCAAAATACATTTCTGATCTACAGCTAAATTATGAACCATCCAGATCTCTCAGGTCT